GGGGGCGGGAGAGGGGGGCATCGCTCCCTCTGGGGCTGGGGAGATCCGGGGGGGGGGATTGCTCCCTCTGGGGGTGGGCGTATTTCTCCCTCTGGAGAGGGGAGATTGGGGGGGCATTGCTCCCTCTGGGGCTGGGGGCCCAGAGCAAGTAGACTCCCTGAGGGGGCCCCCAATCAGTGACAGGCAGCCTGGAGGCTCAGAGAGGTGCGGTTCCAGGAGGCGGAGCCCAGGGCCTGACCCCCAGCAGAGAGCGGCCCCCCAGGAAGGGCTGGCGCAGGGACCCCCCCAGGGCTGTACAGAGCGAGAGAGCCCAGGGCCTGGGAGTTCAGGACATCACGGCTCTCGGGGGTGGATTTTCACACCCCGAGCCGCCGCTGTGCCCCTGTCCGTGGTCCAGGCCGTGCGGCCCTTCCTGCCGGGTGGAGCCCGGTGGCTCTGTGAGTTCTGCTCTTGGCAGCGCGTCATGACACCGCTGTCCACTGGCCTCAGCTGCCAGAAAACCACCCGGAGTTCAGCCTTGAGTGGCTCATTCTGCCCAGCCCAGCCAGCTACGGGGCACCAACCCTCCCGGGTCCCGCTGCGCCCCTGAGGAAAGTCTTTACACTCCTGCACCCCGGGCGGCGATACCGAGCCCAACGGCTCGTAGACAGTCCCTCCTTCGGCACAGGATGCCAGGCTTGGCAGGGCAGGAGCTCGCTGCTTGGGGTCTGAGGGGAATCGGGCTGGGCAGGAGCCCCCCAGCTGTGCCGGTGCCCCTCAATCCTGACCCGCAGCCCCTGCTTTCTGTGGCCCTTGGGAGCCACCCAGGAGGCCCTGTAGCTGCCGTGCAGCACCCTCTCGGCATGGGCTGCCAGAGGGTGCGTGGGGCCGGCCCCCAGGTTGTCTCCTGAAGGGACCCAATATGCAATCACGGATCAGCCCACTGAGGGGAGGCATGGGACGGACTTCCCAAGAGAGCTGGGGGCACGGCCCGCACCAGCCCAGTGCCACACCTCTGCCACCAGCCCAGCGCCACACCTCTGCCACCAGCCCAGGCACCCTGTGCCACCCCACCGAGCACCCACTGGATCCCTGGGCTCCCGCAAACCCTCCACTCTAGGGAATGTCCACCGCAAACGGAGCCAGCGCCCAGCACCACAGCCACGCCCGCGGGCCAGACTGAGGGAGCAACACCAGACCCATTTGCCCACCCCCAGCCTGCCGTGCACAGCCCCTCAGCCCAGCCCCTGGGAGCCCCCAGCTCTGCCCCCCAACCCTGCCCCTTGGATCCCCGCCCAGCCCTTGGGACGCCCCAGCTCTGCCCCCCAGCCCAGCCCCTTGAACCCCCGCCCAGCCCAGCCCCTGGGACGCCCCAGCTCTGCCCCCCAGCCTGGCCCCTGGGACCCCCCAGCTCTACCCCCCACCCAGCCCC